AGACCAATATTCACTAAAAGTGCTAGTTCATTCTAAGAGAAATTATTGGAAATTGTATAGACTGTAAATTCGAATTTCGGTCCTTCCAAATGTAATAAGCACAGTTATTTCATGGCCATTACTCGAACTAAAATATAAGCATTTTTGAATTGTTTTCAAAGCACAAAAGCTTCTATTAATACAAAACTATGTGCTGTTTGAGCGGTAAAGTTAAGTATTGAATCATACTTTCATTGGTGGGACTATATTTCAATGCAGATAAATAGCTGGTTATGGTGGACTCTTCTCTTTATGTAAACTGCAACTCTCTGGTTTATTCGTGCACCGTGTGAAAGTTGCATGTTTACTGGCTTTTATTTGATCCTGACTTGGGAAAACTAGATATAATTTTCACAATAATCTCATGTTCACACTTATTTGGCCAGTAGTCCCAAACTAAAATGCATGTTTGAGCTGTCTAAACTGAAAGCAACTTGGGTAACGCTTCCCTTTACAGTACAGTACTTGCGCGTACTTACCGTGTACTTACCTAGAAAGTACTGGCTAATATAAGGTAAGTACATGGGTTAGGGGTAGGTTCAGGGTTAGTACCTAGTTATTGTAATTATTATAATAACTACATAGTTATGTACATGGGTAACAGGTACTGTAAAAGGAAGTGTTACCGCAACTTGCACTGACAACTTAAAATATGTCAGTGCCATTGTTTTGTCTCAAGATGCACATAAGTAATGGTTTTTCAAAGGCACTTTTATAAAAGCTACTTAAATGCCCTAATTGGACGTAAACCTAATCCTGGTTTAATCTAAGCCTTGTTTGTGATACCGGGCCATAATGTTGAGGTTTTGTGGCTATATTAATGTTTAGTGTCCTTGTTACATTACATGTAGTTACTGTATACTGTATACAATTTAGCGTAACCAAGCCCTAATCCTTACCCTAACTTTATAGTAAGTACATGTAGTGAATTATTATTACTCCGTACATAAATATAGTATAATTGCACTGTAACATGGACACCGTAAAATAGTGTAACCTATTACACTACAAATCCAGGGAACCGAGATTGTTCTCAATGATAATTAACAATGACTAACTAGCAACTATAGTTCGTTTCTTAGAAGTGTTCAACGTAGCAGCCTAGTACCTTGTAAATGCATTATGGTTTCCCAGTAAAATCCAATGAAACTGGCATAAAACCAGCCAGATTGGAGCATACAGTACAATTTTTAGAAGTCCGTTCCAATATTGTCTACAGTATGTGATAGACAGTGAGCGTATCACCTGAGACATTAATGGAAGAGATCCATCTTGACCTTGGCGCAGGAACTCCCAGCAGATTGTGTTCAAGAATAAAATAATAACTGTGAGCATTGTTGTTTTCAGAGTCAGAGCACTGAGGCACCAAATAACCCCCTATCCACTTTGCTCTGGTTTTTCTGCAGGTATAAGAAGAACAGAGGGAAATCTATATATAAAGAGCTCATCTGGGAAAATGTTAGGCTTTCACAGCTGTAGAGCAGCCAATGGAGCGATAAGTGTGGATGATAAGAGCAGCCAGAGCCAGTCTGGAAATAAAGAAACGAATGGTGTGATGGGACGCTGACCAGAGACACAACCAACTCACAATGATACACAGCTACTCTGAAGAAACGTAAAGTAGGTTTTTAGTTAGTCATGCTTCGTCAATTTATCTCTTGTGGGATGTTGTCAAGTTATAGCCTATATATATATATATATATGAAGAGTTCAGATGCAAAAGCCTCTAAGTGCCATTTGAAATTTTCTTCTAAAATGATAATTTTTATCAAGCTTGTATATTTCAGTTCAGTAATTTCACTTAAATGCCAATGAAGATTACCTATTAATTGCCATTTAAGTGAAATTACTGAACTTAAATATACAAGCTTGATAAAAATTGTCATTTTAGAAGAAAATTTCAAATGGCATTTAGAGGCTTTTGCATCTGAACTCTTCATATATTGTGTTATCATACGTATTTTGTGCTGACACAACCGATGGTCAAGGACTGTGGTTATATTTTGTGTTAGTTAAAATTTTAAACGTTTACTTGCAGTATGCTGAGCTGAGTTGAATTAAATGCCTGCGGTAATCAACATTTTGCCAACTGTATGTTATTACTCTTCATGTGATTTAATCCTGCTCTCCTTTCCGTTGGGTTCATGATATGTAGCTTCTGTAGACTGCTAACTCTATAAGCAGATGTGTGTGTCCAAGCACTAAGTGATCAACCTCATCATATTGCATTTAAGAGCTGAGGTCGGTTTGATTGGATTATAATGAATATGCAGGAGAACCGCAAGGAGAGCTGGACTCAATTGCAGAGAAAAGAGAAGGCATCGAAAAAAACAAACTGGCCTGAAATCACTCAAACTGTCTTAAAGTGCTTTCTAAAGATTAGGTTTGTGGGCCAAGCTTTGCAGTCAGCTCATATCAGTCTCCCACCCTAAAAAAAAATCCTCTTAAAGCCCCTGTTAGCCAGCTGTTTATCAAAGCCAGATGTGTGAGGCAAGAACCCGCAGGAAATTTACCATGACATTGTCCACTCTTCTTTTGAAATGACCTGTAGAACAGAGAGAACTCACGTAAAATCTTCCCCCACCTCTTCATCTATCAGCCGACTGCTTCCATCGGAGACTGGTGCTTAAACCTTGAGGGAATTGGCACACGTCGGAGTGTCTGTTTTGTTTGGAATGTCAATAGTTGGTACTGGTAGAGTTTTAGTGTTAGTTGTGATTGGATGAAGCCGCTCCAGAGGATAAAGGTGACACTTTGTGCATTTAATCATTGTGACTTTAGATGGATTATGCTTAAGGGGAGGGGTGTGGCCAGGGATTTTGGGGCCCATGAAAAAAAATGAGGTAAGGCCCCTACTACTGCACCCGTTCAATTAATCCACAAGTTTCCTACGCCCCATGAGGCCTTGCGTCAAAAGTGGGCGAGACTTTCGGTTGGAAGTAAACAAAGCGCGACTTGACATGCTTGACACTCGTTCATTCAACAGTTGACAGTCATTCAAGTTATAGCGATCCAAACTAGCTAACGATGTGGGAACACAACCTCAACAAAATTAAAAAGGGTGAAATAACAGTACCTTTACCCTCCGCAGTAGTTGATTGGGAGTATTATAATAACGTTATTAATAATCAATACTCATCAAGGCATGGTGACAGACAGTTATGCGAGCTGACAAACAATTAAAATAAAAATACACACTTAGTCATTGTGCTTTGGAGTTTATTCAAAATTATAAATGAATGTGCTACTTGAATGCATTAACTGGCACATTTGTATTCTGTCAACACAGCCTTTGATCCTGAGTTTAGGTGTAACATCAGTAGCGAACAGCCAATCACATGCTGATAGAGTTTATAGAATATTAAGAATTTAAACAAATGTACACAGGAAGATTCGTCGTCTTTTGGGAGGTGATGGAAACTACAGTCGTTGGCAGGATCACTCTGATTTCGTTTTCAGCTTATGTTCAAAACAATCACGTTTAAGCCCCTGAATTAGTTTAGCCCGGTTATTCATACAACCGCGAACAGCACATGTTGTCCATGAGCTCAGTAACGACATCTCTCATAAAGATTTGCGTCTTTAAATAGTAAAATAATTCTCTGAAAAACAGCTAGCCTCTTCGCTAACTAACACACAAAATACCATTGGAATGCTACTTCCGCCGCGTCACCGGAAGTTTCACCCACTTTATTTTTTTACAGGAGCGCCCCTCGGAAACTTGTGGATAAAAAAACCCTAAAAGTGTGTGGGCCCTTAAAATCGTCCTAACTTTCCCCCCCTCAGCGGAGCCCCTGCTTTCGGGAAAAGTCTTGGATTTTTTTTTGCATTTTTCCAAACTATTCCATCTGGTAGGAAAGGATTTTTGGAGGAGCACATGCAGAACTATTGGAGAGGTGTTAATACTGACAGTGATTTGAAGCCACAAAGCGACCAACGGGTTAACTTTATGCAAATGAACAGTATTTGGATTTGATGATTACCAGTAGGAGTGCAGAAGTGATCCGCCTCCTGATACAGTTTTGAATTTAATCAGCTCTTTAGAGAGCATTTTTTATTGTGCGCATTAAGGACTCGGAGCTCCAGTGTGGTTCTGCAAAGCTTTTATTGGGACATTTTGAGGGTTGGGTAATAGCATAGATTAAATATATGCACATATATCAAGGCTCTTTTATGCCAGCAGCCATTTTGAGCCACCAATGTGTGATTTATGTGTGGGGGAGATGAACAGCTAATTGGTTCTTCTGAAATACTACTTAGACATGTATAATTATGAAGTCAGCTTTGTGATTTCATGACTTAAAGACTCCAAGAAAGGTTTTATTTCCCATGTTCGTGTAACCCTAACAAACAGGATTTAGTGATTGGACATATTTGATAACTTTATTATATATTACATACTTATATATATATATATATATATATATATATATATATATAATCACCATACTAATACTGTGTTTGACCCCCTTTCACCTTGATTCATTGATTCAACAAGGTGCTGAAACCATTCTTTAGAGATGTTGGCCCATATTGATAGGATAGCATCTTGATATCCTAGTCAGGTCTTA